GATAGCAGCTCCACACTCTAAGTCCTAACCTGATGCCCTGCCGGCACTGCTTCCGGCCATCCTTAACTTCGGTTCAGGGTCCACTCAATGTGGACATGCTAGTTCAAATTAGCAAAACGCTAATTCGAATTAGTTTTTAGGTCTAGATGCACTAATTCGAATTAGCTTAGTTTGAATTAACTAATTCAAATTAAGTTAGTTTGAATTAGTGCTGTAGTGTAGACATACCCTTATTGTCTTGGTTTGAATCTGGAAACTAAATAATAGTTGCAAGTAATAAGTAATAACATTATTGTAAGACTATAACATAACATTTTTAATGTGATTAACCTTTTTTTTTCCTTTAAAAAAGTAATCTTGCTCAGTCGTCTGGATGGAAAAATGTCACTGGCCATCTTTCCTACCTTCTATTAGTCGCCACAAAATACCTCCATTGGCATTTCTTTGCTCTTGTTTCCTCCCTCCACATTAAACTGTAAACAGATGCACTTTTGAAATGTGCTTTTATCATGAAGGAATATGAATTCCAATGTCTTCTTGTTAGTTAACAGGAACATAGCATACATTTGGATTCGCAAGATATTTTTTCAGTTCGTTGTAATTTCTTCACTAAACATGTGCCTAATAGAAATTACTTAGCATTTAACTGCAATGTCAGATAAAAGAATCTTAATATCTGCCCAACAGCTGTTGAAATCATAGGTGCATTCTCTTCCCCAGCAGTAGAATAATTAATCTGTGAAGTAGAAATTAAATCTCTTTAAAACAAAGAAGTATGGTATTGGATGAAATAAGTGGATATAATGAAAACCAATAACCAAACAAATGCAATTCATGTCCTTTTCTTCCAGGTGTTCTAGAATCCTAAATGCAGCAGGCGACATTCGTGTTTTCAGACCCCGTGACCGGGATGAGATGGTGAAGAAAGTGATTGAGCCCATGGCCTGTGATGGACTGAGAACTATTTGCGTTGCGTACCGGGACTTCAGCAGTAACCCAGAACCAGACTGGGACAGTGAAAATGACATTTTAACTGACCTGACCTGCATTTGTGTAGTTGGTATTGAAGATCCAGTAAGGCCAGAGGTATGTCAGACTTATACATTACAGTGCCTACTTAAGTCTGAATTCAAATTTCATGAAGTAGTCTATTTTTGTTTAATTTTCTAATTAACATTATCAAATTGGATGCCACAAAAACTTGGATACAGCTCCTATATCTGAGAAAAGTCCTTTATTGTTCAGTTGACCTTACTTAATTATAGCAAAAATAGGCTGATGTAAAGTATTGCAAGAAAAAGGTGATAAGGTTTTAATTTTTGTCTTACTGAGTACTTTATAGGGAGTCATATCAGAAAAGCTTCCTTTTGTGAATGGCCACCTAGACAATGCAGGTGAAACTTTCCATTAAGTAAAATGTGACAGTCCAATATTGAAGTTGTATGAGAAACAGAGATGGGTTCCCTTTGAGAAAATAAGTTTCTGGTACAAGTATGAAATGGTGATTTGTTTTCAACATAAAATAAATCTGCTCTAGAGGAAGTTCTGTTTTCTGTAATAACAACTTAACAGTCCTTTGTTACTTTGACATGTCAATTACTGTACTACAATTAGAGCCCTGCATGGATATAAAATTTGTATCCATAGCTGCATCCATATCCACAAAAAATGAGCCATGAATATCCTGATCCACTTCCACAGATGCGGATACCTGCGGATATTGTTACCTGTCCTTGGACCAGCCAAGGGAAAAAACTTAGGCAAACGGTGAATTTCAGTAACACTGAAGCTAGTTTATTATAACAGATTCTTAATAGTATGGCAGTACTCACACACACACATCACATTCATGCTGGCAGTTTGGAGGCAGGCTGCAGGTGGCAAGAGTTAGTTTTGATTTCACAGGTAGCTGAAACTGGCCAGGCAACAGCCCCCTTGAGATTCAGCCATGAGGCGACAAAGGTCCCCGGAGATCCCTTCAGATCCACGGGAGAGCTCTACTTCTTCTAGTCCATTCCCGGGCTTGGCGTGCTGTTACATTTTTCCAAGGCAAAAGAGACCTTCTGGCCGCCTGTCACACAATTTATGCATTTTCAGGGTCCTTTCTTGCCTTAAAAGGTAACAGGTGCTAGACTGCCTTATGATAGGGTGCTTCCCATTCACACTTACACATTCTGTAGCTTACATACATAAGCATTAATATAATCAATTCTGCTTAAGCAATGTGTTTTCTAAACAAGTGTCTGGCAGGTCATCCCAAACAAATCCCAATAACACCATTATACTTTAGACATGCCATTTGACTGCCATATCAACTTTGATATAACAGGAAGCTACTTAAACCACATTTTCTCAGCTAACAGGAACTGTCTCAACTACATTTGCTTACCAGGAACTAGTCAAGCTGTAGCTGAGAGGGAGAAATGGGGGTGGAGGGAATGTGTCCAGCTATGTTCCAATCAGGGGGTTAGGCGTGTCTGACTGGTCACAGATATAAAGTAGATATCTGCAGATTTTCAGGGTTCAAGATACAAAATTTGTATCCACATCTGTATCTGCAAAAATGAGCTGCAGATATCTGCATCCACATACGCAGATGTGGATACACACAGATATAAAGCAGATAGCCATGGATGTGCATGGCTTTAACCACAGTTGAGTTGACAGTTAACAAATTGTTTTTAATGTTGTGTTTGAATGAAGAAAACATTTGTTAACTGTCTTTGCAAAGGAGAGTTTAGCAATTGAAGGGTAAAAAATCCAAATATAAAATTCACAGATGCCACCATATGTAAAAAGTGAATTGGAATCTTTGATGCTGTGGAACTCACTATTAGAGTTGCATGAGTAAAGAGTCTGCAAATTTATACTCCATCTTTGGCTGATTTAAGCTTCTATCAGAAAGCTTTAAAATAAAACCATTTTTTAAATTTATAAATAAAATAGAACACAGTAAGAAATAGAGGCTCTGATGTCATGGAAATGAGAATAGTGTTCACTCCCTATATAATTACATGATAGGAGATGGTTGATTTGTATCTGATATATTTATATAGTACTTGATTATTAATCATTATAACAAATGGGAAAGAACATTATTCCCATTTTACAGTTGAGGAACCAGTATAACACAGAGGATAAGGCCAAAGTAAATTAAAAGTTCTGGGAATAGAAATAAGAAATTCCTAGTTCCAAGGTAACATGTTCAGTCTATTAAATCACACACTTCTTGTGGTATAGAACTAATATCTATAAGTCACCTGGCCATTCATTGATAACACTATTAACCTTTACAAAGGAAATGGCAGAGGCCATCTGGTGGCAATCTCTCTCCTCCCTGTCCTTACATCCCATTTAATTTGCATGATAGATCTATTTTAGTCAGTTTCTTAATAATTCTGTTTGGATCCTCCTTGCTAGTATATCAGGTTGCTCACAATTTTGTATATGCTAAGAAATACTGTTTATTTTTTCACTAAAATATCAAAAGTACACATTAAACTACTTTGAAGGACTATGAAATAGTCTTCTGTTTCCCTGAATGCTATACAAACCCAATATATTATATTTCTGACTATGATAATGCCATACCATAGAAAAAGCCACCTGTGTGATAATTGCCCTATTTCTGCACCCACGTGGTAAGATACTCATTCATGTGATAAAAAGTATTGTTCTTCTTCGAGTGCTTGCTCATGTCCATTCTGATTAGGTGTACGCGCGCCGCGTGCACGGATTCCGGAGCTTTTTTCCCTTAGCAGTACCCATAGGGCCAGCAGGGAGCCCCCTGGAGTGGCGCCGGTATA